CACATCTGTCATGACTACATACCACATGTGTATTTGCACATAACCCACATGTGTGCCCCATACACGTATACATCACACACCCTGTACATGTACACACCACACACACACACACGCCTCATGCATATATGTACACCACACATCCACATGCCACAGGCATATACACAGCCCCTGTAAACCTGTCATGCATGTGCATACCACATACGTGTATATATACCATACAAACATATACGTATCTCACACACATACACCACATATATATGTACATACACCCCCATGGAGGTACACACCACATACACACGTGTCATAGATACACACACCATACATATATACAAAATCCATGCACACAGACACTTAACTCATAGATCCTCCATACATATATGCACATCACACACGTATACCACCGGTGTACACACCACACACATATATGTAAACCCGCGTACACACACAACACATAAACATCTATACACATGCCGTACACGCGCATGGCACACACAGCCACCAGAGGTATACACACCATGCATACATGCACATATAACCCACACACATCCATGCCCCACACGTGCACCCTGTCCATAAACACACCCCTCACATCCACATCAACATGCATCGTTCATATGTATTGTGTTGTTGTTATGTGCCATTGAGTCACCATGAACTCATAGCAACCCTATGTACAGCATTCCTAAAACCTATTCTGTCCTGTGCCAATCTTATTGTCTCCAACACACCTACCCCTTTACCCCAGTCACTGAGTCAATCCATCTCATCAAGGGTCTTCCTCTCTTGCGCTGTCCCTCCACCCTCCCAAGCATGATGTCCTTCTCCAAGGACAGGTCCCACCTTGCAGCATGTCCAAAGTATGTCAGATGAAGCTTAGAATCCTTGCCTCCAAGGAGCAGCCTGGTCTCACCCTCTCCAGGATGAATTTGTTTGTTCTTCTAGCAGTCCATGGTATACTCAACACGTTTTTCCAGCACAGCAGCTCAAAGACATCAATTCTCCTTCTGTCATCCCTAGTCATTGCCCAGCTTTTCGATGCATAGCAAGTAGTTGCAGAGATCATGGCCTGGATCAGGTGCACCTTAGTCTCCAAACTGACATCATCACTCTTCAGTAATTTGGAGAGGTCTCTGATGGCAGACTTTCCCAATGCTGCAATTCGCCTTTTTATTTCTTGCCTGCTGGTACCAAGTGTGTTGATTGTAGAGCCAAGCAAACTTAGGCTGTTCACAATTTCTATCTCTTCACCATCTATCATGATGCTGCCAGTTGGCCCACTGATGAGAATTTTTGTTTGTTTGATGTTGAGCTTCAATCCATATTGAAGGCTGCAGTTCTTGACCTTCTGCAGCAAGCGCTTCAGGTCCTCCTCAGTTTCAGAAAGCAGGTTTGTGTCATCTGCATAACGCAGATTGTTAATGACTTTTCCACAAATCCTGATGCCACATTTCTCCTCATAGAGCCCAGCCTCCCATATAATCTATTCTGCATACAGGTTGAAAAGGTATGGAGATAGGACACATCCCTGGCGTACACCCTTAACAATTTTGGACTATGCAGTGTTTCCTTGCTCTGTTCTGATGACTTCCTCTTGGTCCAAGTATAGGTTTCTCATTAGCACGATCAAGTGTTCTGGGATTCCCATTCTTCTCAGAGTCAGCCACAGTTTGTTATGATCCACACAGTCAAATGCCTTTGCATAATCAATGAAACACAGATAGACATTCCTCTGGTATTCTCTGCTTTTAGCCAAGATCCATCTAACATCAGCTACAATATCCCTAGTACCACAGCCTCTTTGAAACCCAGCCTGCACTTCAGGCAGTTCTCTGCTGATGTGCTGTTCCAGTCCTTTTTGGATAATCTTCAGCAGAATTTTGCTTGTATGTGATATCAGTGATATTGTTTGATAATTTCTGCACTCGGTTGGGTCGCCTTTCTTTGGAATGGGAACAAATATAAATCTCTTCCAGTCAGTTGGCCAGGTGGTTGTCCTCCAGATTTCTTGGCATAACTTGGTGAGCACGTCCAGGGCAGCATCTGTTTGTTGAAATATGTCCGTTGGTATACCATCAATTCCTGGGGCCTTGCCAATTCTTCAGGACAGCTTGAACTTCTTCCTTCCACAGGCTCTTACTCATACATTGTTTCAGGAAATTCTTCTTTATATGCCTTATGGATAGATTTGACACGTTGAATAGTAATGACCCACTTTGCACTTGCCTCCCCTCTCCCCACCCCCGCTGCTGCCGCCTCGCCTCGCGCTGAAGTTGACCCCTCATGAGACAGGAACCCACATGTCCACGTGCTTGCTCCCCCCCTCCACAGGTGCCCCCTTCTCTGTTGTCCCTCAGACATAAGGGCCCTCGAGGCGGCCCAGGTGAGAGTCAGGCCCAGGGTCTTGACTACTAGCAGCTGTTTCCCCTGAAATGTTGGTGCTGCCACACGCCCCGGGTGATTCACTCTGGAGGGGGATCCTGGGATTTCGCTTCGTTCCTGCTTTGAGCTTTTCTGTTCTGCTTTTATGGGAACAGAGTTTCAGAGGAATCCATTACCTGGGAAGGAAAAGAGCGTTCCCACCGGGGTGTCGGCTGGGAATCCCACTGGTGCGTCTCGGTGGTTTTGTGGCCATGCACAGTGTGCCCGCCTGGTGCAGGCGCTGTGTCCCACACTGCCCACGGTGGGAGTCACGGCCGCTCGGCCATCCGTCCACTCACCTGTGATCACGTAACGGGAAGCCGAGGTCACACAGTGGGGGCAGGGGTGTGTGTGTGTGTGTGTGGTCCAGTCCAGCCCGTGTAACTGGACGCTTGGGCGTGCCCGCAGCTACGTCTCAGCCATGGTGCCTGTGAAGTCCCCCCGGGAGTACTACGTGCAGCAGGAGGTCATCGTCCTGTTCTGTGAGACTGTGGAGAGGTGAGGAGAGGCTGGGCCACCACCAGTAGGGGTCCCCCTGCTGCTCCCCTCCCTGGACAGGTGGCCAGATGGGGAAGGTCGGGCAGAGCGTTCCAGAGTCTCCGGGACAGGTCAGGGTGACGGTCCTTTGTAGGGACTGTGCTCCTGATATGCCTCAGGCGTGGGCGAGGCTGTGCCTGTCCCCTTGCTGCCTGTCCACCGCCGTGGACACAGTTGCGTTTGCCCTGTGGACACAGGTGAGCGTGAGCTCGACCAGGACACACCCCCTCCTGACCTGTCCCCACAGCGTGGACACAGCTTGGTTGGGATTCCTCCCACAGCATCCACTGGGTGTGCCCCCTCCCTCCATGTCCACCTGGTGTGGACAGGTGTACGTACCCCTCCCTCTGTGTCCACGTGGTATGGACACAGGCTGCCTGCTTCCCCCCACGTGCCCCAGGCGTGGCCCCAGGCTTGTGTTCCCTGACACGGCTTTGCCCTGTGGACGCTGCGCGAGGTGGCCCAGCTGCCCTGCTCATGGTCTCTCTTCCCCAACAGAGCCCTGGACTTCGGGTACTTGACTCAGGACATGATCGATGACTACGAACCAGCCCTCATGTTCACCATCCCCAGGCTGGCCATCGTGTGGTGAGTGTCCCTCTGTCTCGGCCAGGCCTTCATCCTCATGATACCGGGTGGGACTGTCCATCTCCGCTGGCCATGCCTGTCCCCTCTGTGTGCTGACATGGGACAGTTACACCTGGGGAGAGTGGTCAGGTCCCACCTGAGCTGTCCCCATCAGGCCCACTGTCAGTCCTCAGTGGGTGACAGGGCAGATGGTCACTTGCTGAGTGTCTCAAAGCAAGACGAGACCCAGAGGCTCAGTGGCAGAGTCCACTGTGGGCCTGGTGACACCCTGACTCCCAGACCGAGGTCTGTCCCTCAACTGATGAGCAGAGTGGGGATGGGGACGAGGGGGGCCGTGGTGGGCTGCGGGGTGCTGTGTGAAGGGGCCTGGGGCAGGTGTGGAGCTGGACAGAGAGTGGGAACCCCGAGTCCAGCCAACAGCAGGTGGACAGGTGGTCACCAGCACAGTGACTTGGGATGGTTGTGGTGGACACGGGGCCAGGACTGGGCTCGGCAGGGATGGTAGGGAGTTCCCTGCAGAGCCACGGGGAACCAGGACCCTGGGTGTCACAGCAGGGCCCCGAGGCTGTCCCTGGACCCCTCCCGGAAGCCGTGGGTGAGAGTGGAGCAGACCAGGGCTGACGCAGCCTGCAGGAGGACAGCAAGGCCCTTCTTCACCTGGGACCTGGACAGCCCCACGTCCCCCTCCGCCACCCCCAGATGGTGGTCTGTCTGCCTCGGGAAGGGCTGGAAGCAGGCACTGGGGGCTTGGACAGGATTTTGGAAGTGCTGATTGAGTGGGACGGCCTTTGGACATACTGGCTCCAGCCCCGTGTCTGTGGATTTGCGTGAAAGCCCCCTGCCTTGACCCTGCCTGGGCTCTGTGAGCTGGTCAACCTCTGGAGGGGTCCATGGTCAGCTCCTCCACCCCACCGCTGGTCAGCTGTTCCTGGCTGGCCCCCATGGTCATTCTCTTCAGTAGGATGTTGTGGTGAATAAATCAGAAGAGTGTGGGGCGGGGGTCATGTCACACCACCCTTCAAAACCCACCGACAGCAGGGTTACAGGCCCTGGTGGTGCGGTGGGGCAGGTACTGGGTTATTGACCCCAGGGCTGCCTGTCACCTGCTCCAGTGAAGAGGTCGTCTGTGTTTGTAAAGATTTGTTGTGCAAGCCCCATGGGGCGGGTCGCCTCTCACCTGCAGAGTCGCTGGAGTCAGAATTGACGGCACTCAGCGGCTACTAAAAAAGGGAGCACTGGTGGCCTCACGGCAAGAAGCTGCCCTGCAATCTCAATGGCACACGGTTCATATCCACCAGCTGGACAGGCTTCTTCTGTGCGATTAACTGTCTCTGGAAACCCAGCTGTGGGTTGATTCCAACTGTACAGTACCCAACAACAACAACAGTTACTGAAAATGTCCCTCCCGGCACACGGACACACGCACCCACAAACCACCGCAGGTTCTGGTTCTGTGTCAGCTGCCGACCTGGTTTAGCAGAGTACTTTACACTCGCAGGTACTGCCCAGCGGCACGTAGAATGGTGTTCTTAGGGAGACAAAGCCGGCAGCCGACTGGGAGGAGCCCTGGTGGGTGGAGTGTCAGTTGTTGGGATGGACAGGTCAGTTCACACCCAGCAGACGCTCTGAGAGAGGATGACCGTCTGCTTGTGGCGCGGTGCCGCCGCCCGCTTGCTCACTGCCGTCGAGCTCCCAGCTCCCCCAGCAGGTCTTCCGGAGGCTGGAATCACCTGGGAAGCCTGATGGGGGGTCACTGGGCGGCAGAATCCTCTCAGCGGCTCTCGACGGTACAACCGTATTTTCAGACACTAACCAAAAGGTCAGTGGTTCAAACCTCCTAGCCGCTCCATGGGAGAGAGAGGAGGCAGTGTGCTTCTGTGAAGATTGATGGCCTTGCAATCCCTGTGGGCAGGTGTGCTGTGTCCTGCAGCGGCGCTGTTACACCCAGCTCGGCGGGAGGGGGTTAGATTCTTATCTCTCAATGACCAGATTTGAGACCTCCTCATCTGTACGTTGGAAGCAGGAGTGGCATCCACTTTCTAAATAACAAGCCTCTGGAAACTCTACAAACTTCGATAAATGTCCATAGTTGTAGAGGGGCTTCAGGCCTTTTGTTCATAAAAGTCGCTATGAGTCGTGCTCGATTCGAAGGCCATCAACAACAATAACTGTATGCTGAGCAGACTATTCAGGAAGCTGGACTTTGTGAAGAAGAATGTGACATCCGGATTGGAGGAAGAATCAACAACCTGCCTTATGCAGATGATGCAGCCTTGCTTGCTGAAAGTGAGGGAGACTGAAGGTGTTTGCTGCAGAAGATTAAGGATTACAGCCTTCACAGTGGGTCCCATCTCATGTCGAAGAAGTCAAACATGCTAACCACCGGGCCAAGAGGCAACATCACGATGGATGGAGAGAACATTGAAGTTGTCAATGATTTCATCTTACTTGGATCCACAATCAGTACCCTTGGTACAAGCAGTCAGGAGATCTGGAGACAGAATTGGCAAGGTCTCCTGCCAGGGACCTCTTCAGTGTCCTAAAGAGCAGTGATGTCAGTTTAAAGACTAAGGTGCCCTTGAGTCAATCCATAGTCTTTCCAGTCACCTGCTCTGCATCTGAGAGCTGGACGGTGAATAAGGATGACAGAAGAATTGACACTTAGGAGTTGTGATGTTGGAGAGTGCTGAGTATTCCATGACTTCCAAAAGAACAAGCAGATGTATCTGGGAGAAAGTGCAGCCAGAGAGCTCCTTAGGGGCCAGGGGGACAAAGCTTCACACTCTGGGCATGTTGCTAGGACAGAGTCTTGAAGGGGTCTTGAAAGGTGGAGGGTCAGTGAAGGAGAGGAAGACCCTCAAGGAGGTGGATTAAAGCGTGTGTGACAGAGACGGGCTCAGGTGTGACAGAGACGGTGCGGACAGCAGGACAGGACAGTGTTCACATCTGTCGTTCATTGTCACTAGGAGTCGTACTTGATTCGACTGCACTTCTCAAGGTGAAGATGAAGGAGTGAAAACAGGAGTTTTGAGGCGACTCCTTGAACTTCATCCGTGTCCCTGTCCCCTCCAGTGGCGTTCACATCATTTTGTTACTTTACTGTCTTTCAAGGCCGTCATCTCAGTGAGGCCATACTGAATTTGAAGAAAATGAC